TGCTGCTGCTGCTGCTGATACTGCTACTGCTTCTGCCGCTGTTGCTCCTGCTACTGTTACTGCTATTGCTACTTGCTGCTACTTGCTACTGCTTCTGCTAGTGCCACTACTGCTGCTGCCGCCACTATTCCTGGTAGATAATGGGTACAGCAGCAATTCGTCTGCACATCCAGCTCCCTGCTGCCGTGCACACAGACAAGTTAGAAGGAAGTGTAAAGCGAAATCGGGCCAGACGGCCGCCGCTGCTGACGATGCCACTGTCGGAAAACATGCTTATGCTTGAGGCAAACGTGGAAACAGCAGGCTTCAGGAGAGTCGGCCGCAGTCCGCAAACGAGGACCGATGGCATCGTGCGCAGTATGTCGGAGCAGCTCGAACTCGACTGCGCTGCAAGGTCGGATCGGTGCTAGCTAGTTTGTGGCTGATGCAGCTAAATCTGCACGGAGAGGCCAGGGATGCCGCTGCCACTTGGGGGAGCCAGAAGTGCATCATGCAACAGACCAGCGCGCGAAAGCTAGACCCTAAACCCTAAACCCTTAATCCTAGAACCCAGAACCAAAAACCTAGACCCTAAACCTTAAACCCTCAATCCTAGAACCTAGAACCGAAAACCTAGACCCGAAACCCTAAAGCCTACACCAGAATGAAAGAAAGTGCTGGTCTTCCCCGACCGGGCCTCTGTCGGAGAGCGTGCTGGAAGGGAAAGGGCATCCTGGGGGTCTGCCAAAACCACAATTACATATCAGGGTTTAGGGCTCTTTTTAAGGGGGTCTTTGAGGGTTACTATGAGGGATCTATAAGGGTACTACAAGGTAAGCCCTATTCTAATGAAGTAGGGTTTTAATTACCTGCTTTGGTGAGTGTAGATAGGGCTCCCTTTCAATATTGGTGAGTGTATTTATTGGGTTTTATTATGGGGGTACTAGTAATATAAACCATACACCATATCAGAGTAGGGCTCTTTTTAAGGGGGTCTATAAGGGTTACTATAAGGGACCTATAAGGGTACTACCATGTAAGCCCTATTCTAATTACTATGGCCCCTACCTCATTGTAGGGTCGGAATAATTCGCAGTTTGATTTTCTAGGGTTCCTCATTGCCATTGTAGTAACCTCACCCCAAAACCCACTCTCATTACTGAATCTCTCGTATTCCGGCGTTCCTAACCCCGCACCTCAACCCCTAAACCCTAAACCCTAAACCCTAAACCCCTACACCCTAAACCCCTAAACCCTACACCCCTACACCCTAAACCCCTAAACCCTAAACCCCTACACCCTAAACCCTAAACCCCTACACCCGAAACCCTAAACCCCTAAACCCTACACCCCAACACCCTAAACCCTAAACCCTACACCCCTACACCCTAAACCCCTAAACCCGAAACCCTAAACCCTAAACACTTACACCCTGGAGTCCTCGAGCTCCCCCCGAAGCACTAAAGCCCTGAAAGCCTCCAACACTTGGGGGTTTCCGAAAATTGGGGGTACCTTATTTTGGGGTCCTTGTAGTACGGATCCTACTATTTAGGGTACGATATTAGGGTCCCCTATTTTCGGAAACCCCCACTTGGCAACAGCCACGGAAAGACAGAAAGGCTTGAATACCCGTCGTCTGGGCACTAGGTGAAGGGTTGTGCAATATCAGCGGTTCAAGAGCGAAACGTCGAAAGCATGCGTCTCGAAGGCTTGAAGCCTAGACCTAAGTAGCCCTCAAATCTTTGGCCCAAGATGAACCCTGCTTCTCTTCATGTACGCACGGCCTGCAGACAGGTTGCAGTAGAGCAAGTGCTGCATGCCTGCAATGGCAAGCATTTATATAGGCTCTTCGGTCCTTGACCGGCCACAGCAGCCTTCTGCATTGGACCGAAACTCATTGATTCCATTTTTGCCCGAAAGTCCGGATTTCCGTGCGTGGCCTACAGATTCAGCCGCACTCGACGCAAGAGCAAGACACCGAAAGGAAAGCTGGCACAACCCGAAATTACTGACGGCCCGCCATGGCCGCAGTAATATCATATAATACATAGTGCAATAGCATATAAGATGCAGTATAACATAATATAAATGTATATACATATATACTTACAATGCATGTATGTATGTACATACCTATATAGAGTTCTCACATTTTATACGCTGCTTGGTTTAGTTCAGTCCTTCATGTCTTCCGCATTACCATCACCATATTCCGGGTCTGCATTGTACCTTGTACATCTAAAGCCGGCACATATATACACACATACATATATATGCATATATGTAAAATGTCATATATGAATATGCGTATGTATATGTATACATATAGGTATATGTATAGGTACATGTATTAGGCGTGTGCAAGTGTACACACCCACACGTAAGTGCGTGCGCATGTGCGCGCTTGTCCAGCAATATTTGTACGTATCTCCTCAGGGCCAGTTTGTGAACGGCGTCATGTTGTAACCGTATAACGTGTGGTACGGTATATGCCATTCAGGCAACTGCATGGTAGCTTTGCAATTCCTTGCATGTTATCGGGCAGAAGCAGACTGTGAGATTCCTTACTCTCTGTCATCTATGCCGTTTCGGGGAAAACATCTAAAGCGGCCGTACGTGCCAAGCCAGCAGCGGTGGACTTGCGAGGTCCGCGGTTAACAGCAGCAACAACCACGGCTGTAAAACGCCAATAACAATGCAGCTTCCGCTACTGCAACTACAACTATACTACTACTACAACTACTACTACTACTACTACCACCACGACGACGACTACTACTACTACTGCTACTGCTACTGCTACTACTACTACTACCACTACTACTACCAGTACGACGACAACGACTACTACCATTACTAAGGCTGCTCCTGCTACTACTACTACTACTACTACTGCTACTACTACTACTACTACTACTACTACTACTATCACTACTACTACTACTACTACTACTACTACTACTACTACGACTACGACTACTACACTACTACTACTACTACTACTACTACTACTACTACTACTACTACCACTACTACTGCTACCAGTACGACGACAACGACTACTACTACTACGGCTGCTCCTGCTACTACTACTACTACTACCACTACTACTACTACTACTTCGACAACAACAACAACTACTACTACCAGTACTACTACGACTAAAGCTACTACTACTACGACTACTACTGCTACTACTACCACTACTACTACTACTACTACTACTACTACTACTACTACTACTACTACTACACTACGACGACGACGACGACGACTACTACTAATACTACTACTACTACTACTTCAACTACTACTACTACTACTACTACTACTACTACTACTACTACTACTACTACTACTCCTGCTTCTGCTACTACTACTACTACTGCTACCACCACTACTACTACTACTACTCCTCCTACTACTCTGCTAAACTTACCTAGCTACCTAGCTACCTACGTACCTAGCTACAACAACAACAACTACTACTATTAGTACTACTACTAGTACTACTACTACTACTACTACTACTACTACTACTACTACTATCACTAGTAGTAGTACTACTACTACTACAACAACAGCTACCACTACTACTACTACTACTCCTCCTCCTGCTGCTGCTGCTGCTGCTGCTGCTGCTGCTGCTGCTAGCTGCTAGCTGCTAGCTGCTACTGCTACTGCTGCTACCACTACTACTACTACTACCACCACTACTACTACTACTACTACTACTACTACTACTACTACGGCTACTGCTACTGCTTCTGCTACTTCCACTAGTACTACTACTACTACTACTACTACTAATACTACTACTACCACTGCTGCTACTACTCCTGCTACTGCTACTGCTACTGCTATTGCTACAACCACTACTACTACTACTACTACTACTACTACTACTGCTACTACTACTACTACTACTACTACTCCTACTACTAAAATCTACTTCTACTTCTGCTGACGCTAGTGCCTCTACAACTGCGGAAGCTGCTGCACGCTGTCGCTACGTCTGACACTTACACTTGTCAGCATGTTTCACGGTAGGCAACACGGTGGTCATCTGAACGACGCCATGCCTGTTCCCACGCATGACGACGTGTGTGCGCCATACATACTCTGTAGGCTCGTTTGGAGTTCTCGCATCATCCGGCATCCCGGCACATCGCCGGCACAAAATAGTGAGCGGATCTTTGGGGCCTATGCATGGGAGTTACCATGGGTGATTTGCACACAGAAAGGGCTGCTTATGCTACGACTATAGATTTTCTGCTGTGCTGCCGCTGGGGCTGCTAGTGGTGTTGCTGCTGCCAGGTAGCAGCGGTAGTAGTATAGCTCCTGCTCCTGCTACTGCAACTCCTCCTACTGCTGCTTCTACGACTCCTACTCCTACTGCTATTCGTAGAACTACCACTACTACTACTACTAACACCACTGCTGCTACTGCTACGGATACTGCTACTGCAATTACTACGGCTACGACGACGAGGACGACTACTACCGCTCCTGCTGTTGCAACTACTGAGTAGCTACGATTACCACCATCCCTCCTACGACGACATCGATGACTGCAGCTACTTTTGTTACAACTGCCGCGACGAAGATCACCACCATTTCCACTACCATTGCATGTGCTGAGGCTGCGTCTACTACTTGTACAGCTTCCGCTTCCTGTTGCCCTGCAATGTTTTTGGCGCTGCTGCTGCTGCCGGCATGGGGAAGTAAGTGCAATCGTCCTACGAACCGGGATTCGGGCATCTGCAGCTACAAAACCACCTTTCGTAAACAAGCAAAATCCTTCTCTCAGCCAAAGCCCTGTGCCCCAACCCCTTAAGCTGAACTCGGTATTCAAGTCGTGTTTCTACTGATGGCATGCAGTTCCTCATGCATGTAATCCAGACTGAACTTATACGTCGCATAGCAGAAATGGCATCCCGAAAGAACAGGCGGATATCTCAAGGCACCAACAATAACGGCCACAGTCTCCAGTGCGAAGTCCCAAGCCCGCTGCATGACAGGAGAAGTCGCAGGGAAAGCAGAGTCGCGGACCAAGCATTGTTCTCCCGTACCTCCCGGTTCTATCTAAACCCTAAACCCTAAACCCGAGTCTTAGTCTTGAGACGGTTGTGTTCCTATTGTTGCAACACCCCTACAGTACTGCCCCAGTAGATGTCAACTGCTGGCGAAGGGGCAGCCGGCGAAGCCACACCAAAAGGGTACACATTCAACCGAAGAACTCAGAGGTTTTGTTCATGTATTGATTACATGGTGTTGTTGACTGCTGTCAAATAGTGTATATGTTCTATAATTCTGCTGTTCCCCAAACACAGTGGTACACGCTGTGGGGTTTTTGCGTGAGGTGCAAAGGGAATTGGATTCTGTTCTGGTGTCTCCCGGCAGTCTCCTGGTGGTCTCCGGTGGTCTACTCGGGGTCTCCCGGTTGTCTGTGGTCCCCAGCGGTTCTACGCTGCTATGCTATACTGCATTTTTGACCATGCACGTACGGATGTTCACCCGAGGCCCTAAGCCCTTGACCGTAAACCCTAAACATTAAACCGTCCTAAGCCCTAAACCGTAAACTCTAAACATTAAACCGTTCCAAGCCATTAACCGTAAACCCTAAACCCTAAACCGTCCCAAGCCCTAAACCGTAAACTCTAAACCCTAAACCCTAAACATTAAATATTAAACCGTCCTCAGCCCTAAACCGTAAACCCTAAACCCTAAACCGTCCTAAGCCCGAAACCGTAAACTCTAAACCTTACTGCAGCAGTTGAAGGCCGCGCTTCGTGCCACGGTTGGAGCAGCTACGCGCACAACGCAGGTCGTTGGGGCGAGTCTCAGCTGGCTACATTGGAGTATACCAGGACCCTCCTTGTGCCCTCAAATAGAGGTATATGGTCCCAAATAAGGGGCATTTAGGGTCTAAAAGAGGGTAGATGGAGGGTCTAGGTACTAATTCCTGTTAGTACCATGGCATTTCAGCTCCAACATTTCCCCTGACAAAAAAACCTAAACCCTAAACCCCAAACCCACAATCCTGGCCGGGCCAGGCGGCAGAAGCAAGCGGAGCGGGAAGAGGCCGTGCCGTCCGAGGCCCTTCCTGCCGAAGCCCAAAAAACCTTTACACTCCATGTTACTACTGAGGGACCCCAAAAGCACATAAGCATAAGCATTTCATGGGGATATCCCTACCTTATTGGGCTTCCTTTTAAGGGGCTTTAGATATTAGATGGGATATCCCTCTTTGGGGCCCTAAATAATAGTAGCAGCAGACAGAGCCATCAATCATAACAACAATAGCAACAATAATATTCAGTTTAATAATCATACTGACATTAATACCAGTCATAAAACTGGTCGTAATAACAATAATAACAAAAATCACAACAATAACAATACTAGTTAGTCATAACAACAACAGCAGTAATAATGCTGCTCATTCATCCTCTAACCATCAGTGGCTCCAATGTCAAAAGCGCAGGAAGTGACCCCGGAGGATGCGGCCCTGGCCGATGAGACTGCTCTAGGCCCCCATGGCCTGTCTGAGGAAGCAGGCTGATTACTATTAGTAGTAGTAGTAGTAGTAGTAGTAGTAGTAGTAGTAGTAGTAGTAGTAGTAGTAGTAGTAGTAGTAGTAGTAGTAGTAGTAAAGTAGTAGTAGTAGTAGTAGTAGTAGTAGTAGTAGTAGTAGTAGTAGTAGTAGTAGTAGTAGTAGTAGTAGTAGTAGTAGTAGTAGTAGTAGTAGTAGTAGTAGTAGTAGTAGTAGTAGTAGTAGTAGTAGTAGTAGTAGTAGTAGTAGTAGTAGTAGTAGTAGTCGTAGTAGTAGTAGTAGTAGTAGTAGTAGTAGTAGTAGTAGTAGTAGTAGTAGTAGTAGTAGTAGTAGTAGTAGTAGTAGTAGTAGTAGTAGTAGTAGTAGTAGTAGTAGTAGTAGTAGTAGTAGTAGTAGTAGTAGTAGTAGTAGTAGTAGTAGTACAAGTAGTAGTAGTAGTAGTAGTAGTAGTAGTAGTAGTAGTAGTAGTAGTAGTAGTAGTAGTAGTAGTAGTAGTAGTAGTAGTTTCAGGCCTGCTTGAAGTTAGAGTCAATTCGTTCGCTTGTAACAGAATACTTCAAGGAGGTTGTGAGCCAACGGAGGGGGTCGATTGACTGGGAGTTCTAGGATCCATTTGGGCCTCTCCGATGCACCCCCAAACCGCAACCGGAGCTTTCGCCAGGCCATGAAGACGAGTCGGTCCCTGAAGCGCCTGCGGCGGTGGACGCAGACGCCGACGCTGACGCCACCGCAGCGGATGCCGCCACCGCAACGGACGCCGCTAACGCGGCGGACGCCGAGGTGGTGGACGGCGAGGTAGCAGATGCTGATGCGGCAAATGCCGAGGATCGAATTTAGGGCTTCCGAGATGTAAAATTTTAGGATCCGCCTGAGTTGAGGTCGAAATCAGAATCTCAACGGCTGTCCGACATATCACCCCGTGCTGTCGTCCATCTGTCTACAGCCCCACTTGCCTTCACCTTGAG